TATAAAAAAAAATATGAGCAATAAATGAAACTGAAAAAGTTACTTAGAAAAATATGGTAATTAATGCAGAACTAGCAAGCTCCTCAGGTTTTCTGTTGCCAAGACAGAGCTATCTTCAAAAGTTCACAAGCTTCTATAAATCTGAAGTCAAGGATACTGTCGTGCTGTGAATCACAAAACAGATTTTAAGAATTTCTGAAGTTCTTTTCAGTGTGAGTGAATTACTGGCATATTTGGAGAATATAAAATTAACTTTCATATACTATGGACACGTGTTTCTTCTCTCTCTTTGAAAGGGAGCTTGAGGTGCTTCAGCTGGGGAACATTTCAAAAAAACCTTCCCATTTAGGTTTCCTTCTGGTACGAAGTCTTACAGATCACACATCACATCTATTTAGATTCTTCTTGTTCTGTTGCTTCACGTTTTGTCTACATGAAGCAGAGTATCTGTTCTGAACATCACTGCCCCCAGATAAGCTAGTGAATGACTTGAAAACATAAAAAAATCAAAGCAAGCCAAGATGTCAGATGTCTTCAAGAATTACGGCCAGATTCAGGAAAAAAGTTTCATCAGCCCATGATTTTCACGAATTTAAGGATTTTCAGTATATTTTTAGCAATACGGACTTTTAGAGATCGACTAGAAAAAGGATGGAGAACAGACTGTCTGCAGAGGCGAGCTCCACACCATTCGCCCCCCAGCTCCTCCCTGGCTACTGGGCACAGTGGGGGTTCTGGAAGTGACACTTGGTGTTAATTCCCCACAGGATGTGTTCTCCTGCCTCCGATTCTGACCACTACCGTCAGGCTTTAACTGTTAAAACGAAGCTCACAGGAGATCCTCTCTGGCCACGCTCCGGGGGGACACGGCTCTGTTCAGAACCAGGCAGCACTCCTGCGACAGCAGCAAGCCCTCAGACACGGAACGGCCTGCACAGAGCCGTACAACCAGAAAACCCCAGCTGGCTTCTTAGCGCCGACACATCAGAGCTGAAAGTGAAAAGCTGCAGCGCAGGGCCACACACAGCCTTCCTCCGGCAGCTGAGAGCCTGCGCTCCCCACCAGACGTAACCCAGCCCAGCAGGCAGAACTGCGCGTGGCAGCCGGACACACCACCGGATCTCCTCGCACCCTGGGCAGAACAAGAGCATCAGGGCTTCCCACAACAGCTCAGAGCCTGCTCCCCTCGGGCCAGTGCACTGGGCAAGGGAGGAGGAGGTGGCAGAGGTTCTCGCCAGCTGGGTGATGGCTCTCCCTGAGCAGGGAGAATTCAAGAGCCACATTTCTGTGAAGCTGAAGTGGCATTAATGCGACTGAAAGAACTTGCCAGTTCACCAACAGCGAGTTCAATATTCAGGAGCTGAAGATTTCAGCTCGACACATACGGGTTAGGGAGGTAAGTCAGCGTATGCAATACTGTCTCAAGTCAGCACTAGAATACCAACAAAAATACAAACACTAGGGGTAGGTGAACTTACTTCCTTAAAGCATTTAAAGGTTCACAGCAACCCTTTTTTTAAGCAAAGCTCAGGACATTTCTTTAAAGAGGCTATTAAAATGACCTTAGTGTACTAAGTGTCCCTGTTTCAATGACTTCCCCTAGATTTGACAAACTGCTATGTTAAAAAGCAGAGTGTATGCAAAACAACGGGATTTAGCTGTCTTCCTGTATTTGGTATTTCGCAAATGTAGATGCTGCTTAAATCTAAGCTTACTAAGCGTAAGGCTCAGCCACTGTATGTACACGACCGCTGCCCATCACACTTCTGGAAGGGGAGTAAAAGAAAGGAAAACAGCCTGGACCGTTCTCACAAAACTCAAGGGAAGTCACAGGCGTGAAGCAGCCAATTGCTCTTTGTTTCTGCCTTATTCCTTTCTATTTTAGATTGCCCATTCTTTTTAAAAAGGCCCATCTTGTCTTTACAACGCAGCAGTGGGCACCCATGAGCACCCAACATAGCATCAGCTGCTGCAGAGACGTCTGGGCAAGCAGGAGAGCCCTGTGGGACAGGCAGACACGGGCTGCGGCCCCTCCGCACTCGTCGCTCCCAGTGACTCACCGGAGAAGGCGTCACCTCGGCAGCCGCTCACCGCCGGGCCACCATGGTACCCGAGGGGCACTTTGGAACCGGACAAGGAAAACAACTTGACAAATCCTTTAATATCTATGACACTGAAACAGTCAACAGGGTCAAAGGTATGGGAGGAGCAGGGCCAAAGATAAACACATCATATTACAGACAGTAAACAAAGCTTCCTATGAACGCAAAAACTGTTGCTTGTACAGTAACCAACACGATTATTTTTCAGCTTAAAGTGATAACTATGTGTGCTTTACGCTTCGAAATCCCACAACATTACAGTTCTGCCACTGCATATAACATTGTGCTACCCACACAGAATAAAGCCAGGAAATGGCTAACTTAAAACACTGAGTCTACATCTACTTTTTTGGTCTTCTGTGGTATCTAGTTGAAGATGGAAGCATTTATGTGCTTTTTGCCTCGTAAGAAGTGAGGCAGATGTTAATGTTACTAAGACCAGCTGTATATACCTTGAAGGTACAGACCACCTGACTCTACATGAGTCAAAATACTAGGAATGTATTGTCAATATCCATTAATGAATTACCAGTTGCTTGTATTTACGTGACCACATGCTTCTGTGAAAAGTACATAGTGACCTGCATCTTGCACGTCGGGTATCTGCAGCACTGCATCCATAAAGAAGTTCTGCAGTAGTGTGTCACTTTCAAGGCCAAAGGCGTGTTTGAATGTGGACAGTGTCACAACATGAACAGCTGATTTCCAAACCAAACACTGTCAGTAGCTGCACAGGGTAGTTCTGAACTTCTCGTCCACCCTGGAAGCCACACAGCAGCACCTTCACCACCCTCCGTACTCCAGTGTAAAGTCCTCGCCAGCGCAACCGTAACCCACCCCCCTCCGGCTGCAGAATCCCGCAGAACGGGGAGAGGGGGAACAAGCAAGGCTGTAACATTTGTTTTGAAAGAGAGTTTTAAAAGCCTCACCTGAAACTTGTGTGCTTATCAGCAGGGACTGCCTCTTTTTTTTCTCATTTTCAGAAACCCCACACACGCTATAATCCCATCTTTCTCTATGTTCTCAGGTCACCGAGGCCAGAACAACCATCTCTCCAAAAGCATGGAGAGCGAAACCTACGCTGGTTCACACTCCCTAGCTTTATTCCTTAAATTCATTTCCTCAGTTTCACAGAGTGTATTTAAATAACTGTCTTAAAAGTTGTAATAGAAATAGTTTAATAAAGCTAACTAGCCTCACACACCATAATTCACCAGCCCCATTATGACACGAGGACAATTTTGGTCGCACAATCACTTGCATGAACAAGTGGATACATTTCAGTTATTTTTAACTATAATGCTAATACATAGGGTTACCAGCTTCGAGAATACCTGAATGATGCCCCTAATAATAAATCTCTCAATATTTTAAGTGTAAACGCATTTTAAAACAACTTTTAATTACAACTCCCTGTTCTTGGTTGCAGAACTTTGACTCAGGTAAAGATTTCTCACTAAAACATCAGCATTAAACAACAGAAAAGATGCTTTGCGTAATGAAATTGAGCAATTTTACTTAAGTCTTCCAAGACTCAGTACAACACATCAATAGTCAGTTTAATAAGCCTTAAATTTATATTAATCACACCAAAAAAAAGTAACTCTATAGCATGGTCTTTACTACACTAGTATTTACATTAGGCCCCAGTTCAAGTCACGAAAGGCAGCCTGTAAAGAAAAAAGCCAATGGAGAAATCCTCGTGTATACTGGAGCTGGGTTTTTGAAGCACTCCAGAGGGAGGGAAGCTCCCATTCACACAGAGAACAGTGAGGTCTACAGCCCAGGGCAGTCACCCGGGAGAACAGCCAAAGAGCTTCTGACACAGGGTCTGTCTTCTTTCAGAACCACACTGGAGAGCTGGTTGTCACCAACTGATCACCAGCAAGACCTCCAACTACCGACAGACACACTTGTTCTACAGAAATGGGAAATCAACAGGAATGTTATCCGACTCGCTACGGAATGGGCACGCACTGAAGGCGTCCCCGCTCCCATCTGCTCAAAGATTACCTGTGGCAGCGGAGGACAAAAGTGCAACCAGATCCTAAACACTTGGGGTTTTGTCAGAGGGGTGTTTTCTTTGCTATAAACTGCTTCAAGGATTCCTAAGGCTGCAGCAATGCTCAGAAGAAGGTCATTACCACCCACCGATGCGATCCTGAATCTAAGGCCTCTGAGCAGTTAAACTGTAACACCGCCGAAATTCGTACTACTGAGACTGAACACACAAGTTGTACTTACCAAGCCACCTACGGCACCTCTGTAAGCTCTGAATTTAATTTACCATATCTACACATAAAGGCCTATATACATGTTCATGTGTACATTAAAAACAGGCTACTGAAAGACACTGGATTATGCCACTGAACAGAAATCCTGGTAATTATGCTATAAAATCAGAGAAATAATTTACTTCAAACTAAAGAAGACAGTAAAAAAACTGCAGCTGCAGCCTCCCAGGCCTGTGCTACTTGCATTGATTACACGTACAGCTTACACACAGTAGTTCATACAGACTTACAGGGATGTACTCGCTAGGGTGAGCGACCCCCACGGCACCACGGCTTACACAACTGTAAGAACTGGGTCTACACAGCTTTTCACAAAGCATACCAGGCTCAGATTGAACACCGAAGTTCATCTTCATCTCCTACTTCACTCTGTTCGGTAAGATGTTGTCTGGCTACCAGCAAAGCAACCTGACATTTACAGCTGCGAACAGAACGCTGAAAACGCTGGCCTTCCAAGCAAGCTTTGTGACATTAGACTACAAACAGCCTGTTCACCTGCTGTCAAGGACACCGTCTCCAGGTAGTTTACATTTCCAGTAAGGGGCACACTGGGATTCAAGTGTATCTTTTTTTTTTTTTTTTTTTTTTTTTTTTAAACCAACCCCCAGACTTTTTCTGTATAGCTGGGTCTGTGTAACACAGGAGGCACTGTGCATTCAAACGGCAGCAGGATCGTATCTAAAGGTGTGAGACTGTCAGCAAATCAAGAGGAGTACGTTACTCTCTTCCACTTCCAGTCCTCAAGGCACCTCCTGCATCAACCCACTGGGAAATAAACAAGCAGACCAAAAGTTCACTGGCAAGAGAAGAATCTGCTATACCTAACTTCCTCAGAAGCACACAGCATCAAAAATGAGACAAGGCTGGACCCAAATTATCAACAAATAAAGTCAATATTAAAATGCTGATGAGATGACAGGAATTGAATGCCGCGAGGTTGGTGTTTTCAGCCCTGTTGATTGCAGGTGATTGTCGATCACAGTGTTTTCTGATGCCCATTTGCAGACGGCTTTGTCTCCGAGTCTCTTGGATTGTTTGACAGGTGAAGTTTATCTAAGCCTGCAAAACATTACGCAGTAAGTTAAAACTGAGATTCTCCCACGTTTCGTGCATGCAGGTATTCAATAGGACACAGACAAAGGAAATTCTACTTTGCGATGAAGGACTTTGCACTTGCTGCAGGCCAGCACTGACATTCGAGCTCAGGTGAGAATTATTTCTGGGCAATTCCCTCAGTGGTGTTTAAGTGAGAGAAGTCCACCACAACGGACAAGCCTGGAAGCAAGAGAAGCCAAACTTCACAGTGCTTAAATCACAGACTTAGATGTTAAGAACCGAGAAAGATGTGCAATTCTTCACTCTGTCAACCTACAAAGACCAAAACAATTACCTAAATGTTTCAAGTATAGCATCTTTCTGAAAAGCATCCATTGCTGATCTTAAGATCATTGGTGATGACCCCATCACATCTCTGAGCTGTTTACATGTCTAGTAATATTTAGACCTATGTTATTACTAATTTGTTTATCTCCATTTCCAGCCATTTGTTCTTATGGCGTAGTTCTCTACTACAAGTACTAATTGAAGTCTCCCATCCTGCCTCAGGCAAGTAGTTAAACTGCTCTTTTGGGGCGGTGGGGGGGGGGGGGTGTGGAAAAAGATGGAAAATTTAACTATATTTTCTTCACAAGAGGCATGATGTCAGTCCTTCCTTACTTGCTACGTTTCTCTCTGAAGCCTCCTATCAAGTCTCTAAAATTAAGTATCAAGAACAGAAGGAGCTTCTTGTTCATTTAGTGCAGACGGTATTGAGCCTTTTACTGAAGTGCCATGGCGTACCAAGGGAAGTTTTTTCCATCATGGGAATTCCAAAATTGCCCGCACTACTAAAAAACCCACAGTCTACTCAATACTGTATTATCTGTAAGTCCCAATATTACATGGCTTTTCGGCCACAGGCCTGCAGCAGGACTTTACCTCCCACTAATTAGCTATGATGCTCTACCAACTTCTAGTCCACAGTGTCGCAGTTTTCAGCATGGGGGAGCAAGGGGCACACAAATTTTGGTTCTCATTCTTTGAATTCCACGTGACAATTTTTAACAGACACTGTCTGTTCTGCGTAGCGTTGAAAGGAAACACAGTTTGTGTCAGGAACCTGCGCTCTTCAGGATTTATAACTCCCTGCTTGCGTCAAATGCAAACCTTTTACCAATTACTTTGTTTCTCCATTTTGATCACAACAGTTACGCAAAAATCACACAATATGTGATAGCGAGAGGCCAAAAAAATCCCTAGGAAATCCACTAGAATGATGCCATCCAGTGACCATTATCCTACTATGCCTTGCATTTTGAAGTTTGTTGATCTGCTTTCAACATACATAGTTTTTTTATCAAACACTGTATGTTTAATACAGTAAAGTGCCATGAATTATGAAGATAAATCTTTTGCATCATTTGCTTTAAGACAGAAACTTTAAAGTTTTACCAGACTTGTTGCTATAAGCCCATGCTGACAGATGTTTGTTAATTTATTTCCTTCAGAGCTCTGCAACACCCACTGCATTATACAAAGTAATCCCTTTACAGGCAAAACAGTTGCACAAAAAGAACAGGCTTACGCAAAAAGGTCAACCGAAAGAGACAAATTAAGGCCTTCTCATAAAGTGACCCTAACTAAAAGCTGAGGGATAATGTCAAATACATCATACTCGCATCATATATCTGTCTCAATCAACAATGGAACTTCTCTGAAGATACTTTCAGTATAAAAATCAATGGACAGATTTACACAGCCTGGCCCACTGATCTGTTCCCCTGGAGCTTCAAAACTCAACACAAAATCACAGAATGACTCGTTTTACTCCTGCACTATCAGTTGTTTCCCATTTCCCCATCTGGCAGGTCCAATTTTAACTCGATTGCCACCAGGAAAGGTTTGGATTTTGTTCACCAGGGTCACAGCTCTGGAAAGCAGTAACCAGTGAGAACCAGTGTAAGTACCTTTGAGACCCTCCAAACTGAACCCGCAGTTATAAATCAACCCTGAAGTTTCACCATCAGTCCTCTCAATTTAAGCAAATACTGCTCCATGGTTCTAAAGAGGAAGAGCTTCATTAATTACTAAAGATAAGATGTAGTAACAACACAATTACTAAATATGTACATTTGATCCTCTTAGTATCAAATACGTTTCATGCCTTTCTTCTATGGCCAAGAAACATGAATGCACAATTCGATCAAAATTTTGCTGATATCAAGTAAAGGTTTTACACAGCGAGTTACTAAGATTCTGTATATTCTGTACAAAAATCTTCTGAACATGTGGTGCTCAAAAAAAAGCATCACAACAAAGCAGCTAAGACTTCTACTAAACTATTTTGAGCAAATTACCAAGTTGCTTTAAACAAAAAGAGGAAAAAGCCAACCCACACACAAGTTGAAGTTTTATTTTGGAATAATTGCTCTGTAGCACTGAGAATGTCTCTGTGCTCTGGAAAGGCCGAAAACCTAGCCGCAAATCAGTAAGTGCAAGGACGTATCACTATGATCAATATTGTACCTTGGCTCTTAACTCTTCAAAAAAGAAGAACACAAATCCACGAATTCTCACCTTAACTTATAGAAACTTCCACCAATAAAAGGGTCTCCGAGTTGTAACAGAACTTTAACAGTAGCACATCAGGGTATTAATGCTGGAGACAAAGGAAACATTCAAGCACAAACTAAATTTTCAGTGCTGTATTACCTAATGCCTTCAGGAGCTCTTCTCGCACAGCGGAAGTGAACTTTCTGACCAGACACAACGTTGTCACAATAGCAAAGAGCAAGTTGTAAGATAAGACAATGTAGAAGTTTCCCAGCCAGTTAAACCTTCCGAAATCTCCAAGCAGATCGAATCTGGTGATTCCTGTTAAAATCGCATTTAAGATTTACATCAAAATCTCGATTACATTTTTTAAGAAACAAAAATTTCATTCTATTACTTTTTACATATGGAAGCAAAATTCTTTCAGACAACACACTCTAGGACATATTGCTAAATACGTAAGACAATGTTCTCAAGGTCAGTTGCCATTTCATTGACCACTATAAAACTGTAAGACACACTGATCAATCAAAATGTTTAAGTTACCTAGTAAAATGCTTCAATAATGTGAGCTGAAGCAAATTGTCTTTTCTAGATAAGAATGCTGCTTTTATAATTTCAATAAATACAACTAGGAAAAAAAATCAGTATTGGTATGAGCACTGCTTGAAATCTCAGTTTCTACGAAATCCTTAACTATTCCAAGAAATGATGGAACACACCGTGGGCTTTCTTATTAAAACAATACAGACAGCAAAAAGCCTTTCCACGAGAGCCACAACATCTTGTAGTAAACACTCAGCCTTTTAAGCGCTTTTTCAGAGCCGCTGCTTTTGAAACCAAAGTTTACAACACTTTTCCAGCTGCAGTTTTTCCCCACATCCGACCCAGCACTACAGCCAGCAAGCGTTCGCACAGAAGGAAGAGAGTTTGACTGACTGACAGTGCTGACAGGTCATCTTCGCAGCGGACCCCGTGACGCTGCCGCTTGGGCTTTGTGCCCATCAAAGGCTACTCAATCACTAAAGCTAAGTCAGCAACATTCTTCCGACAAGTAGAAGTGTCTGCACGCTACAGGGTCCGTCCCAGGAGGCAGACCAGGAAGAACCGCAGGCTGTTCCTTGGCCAGGTCTGCCTCAAGGACCGCAATGAATAAAGGGCGGAATATCGAGATGACACCCAAGTAACGGTCCTCTAGGACTGATGAGCCGTTACATTCCCAAACCAACTGCCGACACAGACGCCGTCGCAGTGATGTGCGTTCTCACAGCCAAGACCAGCAGTGCGAAGGAAGGAAGCTTACTTCCCCCCAGACCCAAAATGGCAGCAGAAAACTAGGCAATTGGAAAATAACCATAGCTCTGAAGCTCCTGGAAGCGAGTTCTCTGTCCTCTTATTCTAAAAGGGTTTGGGGGCTTTTAAGAACTATGACTTCAGCAGTGATAATAAATGGAGAGAGACAGAACTAAGGGTCAGTTACCTTCCCTTCAAGGGTCAACCTGGCACTCCCGAATCTCATTGTACCTTGATACCCAAGACTGGCAGCCAGCTATCACAATGTTAAAAGGTATGCACGCCTCTTGTACTCAGCATCAGTCAATTCAATTAAAAAAAATAGGGGAAGCAAATTTAGTATCTATGAAAAACATGCCCAAATGAAGACAACGAAAAGAAAGAGAATTTTCAAAGGGTAAAAGAAGAAGAAAAAAAAAACAAAAAGACTGAAGCTGATCAAAATAGCAAGAGAGGCACGGAGAAATATCAAAAAAGCACAGAAGGTCTTAGCAGAAGAAGAAGAAACTGGCTGGCTGAATCAACCGGTAAGCAGATGAAGGATAATAAACACGGAGCTGCTTGCACGCTTGAAGCCAAACAGACAGTGTCCTTAGGAATATTTTCAAAGAAGCAGAGTGTCTCAGTCAGACTGCGGAGCTAGACGAAAATTGAGAAAGTCAAGTTTGAACGCACAGGCTTCCAGATCCTTAAAGGAAAAGAAACACAACAGGTAGAGCACTGAGGAAAGAGTTCTCTGGGAAAGCAGAAATATTCCTTGACACAAAGGAGTTCCAAAGAATAGCTAGCAATGGAACAGCGGGATCAGGACTAACAAAAGTGATGCCCGACACATCTGTTAGAACAGGCAGGGAAAATATTGTCCACAAGTTATATTCATTTTCCTCTTATGAATAAAAAAAGTCACTGCTCATCAGAAGTAAAAAATGTGACACAGTACCATTTGGTAAGTTTGTGGGGGAGAAGGGTTGAAAAGCTTTTGCTGTCTGTCTTACAGCAGTGTCTGTTCAGCCCACAGAAAAAAATTCCCAAGGCTGCAAAGTGAAAGACCACTCAGCAAGCGAGCAGAAAGCTACACCTCTAGTGGACACAAATATGTACCCAATAAAGTTGGTTACAATTTACCAAAGAAAATATTAAAGAATTGTTCAGGCTTAAAAAAAAAAAACAAGAACAAAAACCCCTGGGTTTAGACTGTACATACAAGTAAGTTTTAAATCACTATTTACTCAACTATAATAATCAAGAGAAGAAATCTAGGAATACTCTTCTGTATTAGAAAATTCAATTTTGTTTGAAATTCCTGGTTTCTATATTCCTGGTTATTACAGGATCTTTTCCCAGTTTGTTTCACAGTGGTTAGCAATATGGTGCTGGTGGGAAACTGCTCAAGAAGGACCACTAAAGGGCTGAAAACTTCTGCAAAAGATGAGTTAACTTATTTTAGTAAAATAACTTTTTTTATTAAAAACTTTCCTGGACTTCTAAAAGAACAACAGATTAGAGACATCCACCACCTACATATTTAACGAGAATGCTACAAAACACAAAAAAACTCTTGTATTTCCATTTTTAAAACTTGAAAAGGGTCAGTACACGTATTAGATAACTGTGCTTTTTTAACTCTGTACAATGATAAAGTCTAGCGTCTTCTGTATAGTTTAGAAACTCACTTTTTTAATAAAGTGAAAAGACTCTGAACCTGCTTAACATATTTCTTTCTTTTCATCTGTTCAGTGCCACAGGGCAGTAGCAAGTAGTGCAACACATGTTGATATTTTTGCAAAGCACCACATGACTCACTGTACCCTAACACACTCTATTAATCCTGTTTGGACAGCTGTGACTCCGCGTTTGTTAGCTGTGTGTTAATTGTTCCATCTTTTTTCTTCTTTTATTTATCTCTATGGCAAACTATTCAGGAATTTCATGTGTTAGTCGTCTTTTTTTTTTTTTTTTTTAAAGTGAGTTTTACCATTAATCTGTTTCCTATGAGACAACAATGCACCCAGCACGTATACTTAGTTCCACAAAATCCGTTTATTATGAACTGTTAATCTCATAGACCATTAACAATTATTTTAATTTTTTTTAAACAAATGATGAATGCAGTAGCTTAGGGGACACAATACTAATGTTAAAATCCTATTCCAAACCACTAATTTTTCAACATAACATCTTGTTCTACATGCTAGAAATGTTTTGCTTCTCAGAACTTCATTGTACTGCCTATATTTTAGATCTGCACTACTTTAAATGCTTGAATTATTATTTTGCATTTCTATGAAGTTTTACTACAGATTTTTAAATCATGAGCTCTAGAGTGTGTATTTTAAGATACAACCCTCCAAAACGCATTACAGGTTTTTTTGTTTGTTATGGAAATTATCTAGTGAATCTAATAAAAATCATCATCTGTAGATGATGAAAATATAAAGCATGAAAAATATACAGTACAGTTTACTGGAAAATATTAACCACTCTTGATTTGACGGTATTCTGGTTGAAAAGAAAATCAGCTGCAGAACCACTGGGTAGACATTACTGGTCTGTGTAGCTGAGCTTAAACTCCTAAGCTTGTATTTCAGAGTCACACAGCCTGAGGTGACGATTTTTGGTTTGTTCTGTTTAATGTTCTTAAAGATATTCACATTAGCTGCAAGTATTCTGCGCTGCTTAAACACTTGCAACCTGACTTCAAGAATTCAAGCTGAAGATTACCTAATGAAACAAAGTGAAGATACAAAACATCCTGTCTTTCCAACTGGTTAAAATAGATTTTCTACTTCAAACGCTACTGCCACGTCTTAACAATAAAATCAGAACTTCCTCAGTTTTACTATGCTGGATTCCAAATTATTGTATTTGAAAACTGAAGTAACAAAGAACGCAAGCACATTATTTTAGGGAAAATGAAAGTAGCCTGGTATCATTGCTGCTAAACTTAATAAATGAAGAGTCATTAACTGTTTTTACAAAGACATTTGCACTACACGTTATTTCAAATTTTATACCTGAAATTGCCAAATGTATTTTTTCACAAAAACTGAGCACTGTAATTCCACAGTGAAGACGAAACTATTTTGTACTGCCATAACAAGCAGTCTCCATATCTATTCTTCTCATCATCTCCTGTTTGAAGGAATTTAAAATCTGACCTACCTTTGTAAAAAGAATATATTCTCTGGTAAATGCTTAATAGCTTTTGTTAGAATGTATGTTCTGTAGTTCATCTATGTAGAATGTATGTTCGACAGCTCTAAGCTTGGGTAGAAGAGAAGGCCACGCATACATGCTATTTCTATCAAAAGCGATGGCAAATTAAATACACACTGTGAAAGGTACAGCTACAGGCTATCCTTTTTTTTAAAAATACTCAATGAAACATCCTTTACTACAATGTTTTCTATTTCCATTTCACTTACCCAGTGTCCTTGACATCACTGGCAAAGCAGAGCTCAGCACCAAGATTGAGACACAGTTTCCAATGATCTGTTGGAAAGTGACAAACAGCATTTAAATTGTAAGTGGGATTGCTGAAGGAAAAAAAAAAAACCACACACCACCACACAACAAGATAAACAGTGGTCAAGATGAACAAGAAGAATTCTGGAAAGTTACATTCTTCAAACTGAACCCAAAGCAATTTACAATAACATATTGTTTGTCTTGCTTACTTCTGTCACACTTCTCCATATGGTGTTACACAGGATGAAGATGATCCAAGAGAAGAGTTAAAAAATACACCAAGTATGTAACCATTTGATTTTAATCAAAGTGTTACATACACTTTGATTCAAAATAATTCAAAACTACCATGCTGCAAAGCATCAAGTGTTTATTTCATTCCTGCAGACTTTTTATAAAAGACCCATTCCATGTGCTTAGAATAGATGACTGATACATCAGCTTAAGCTTTGTATGTAACTGCTTGCAGGATTAGCATTATTTAAAAAATTACAACAAAGAGCTTCCTTTCAATCGAACGCCTGTTGACTACTTTAAATAGTATGAAAAAATTCACAGCTGTTAGATGTTAACTAGATGTTACTCTAGTTTTTGTGAAGCCTTTATAAAGAGAAATTGAAACTTTCTCTCACAAGGGATCACTTCCTTCAGCTCTAATTCTATCAGAATTCAAAAGAAAAAAACACAAACAGAAAACTTCTTAAAAGTAGGTAGATATTGCTACGCTATTCCTGGTGTACTGTAAACAAATAACAGAAAACGTTGAGAACAGTACCACTCCCTACTACCTATCTACTATAACCATTCTATGGTTTTTACCTACATTCTCATTTCCAATAATTTAAGATAAAAATGTCTTTATCCATTACTTAAAGAAAAAAGACGACAAAACACACACAATGAAACATACTGAAAAAAGTAATTAAATTCAACATCTGTTCCTTGGTTACTGATCACCTCCCCTTATCAGCTGTGGGAATATTTTGCCAAAAACCCAAGCTGGTTCCTGCACATTAGGTAACAGCGTTTGTTATTTTGAAGCCAGGGCTAAATTGTAGAAAGTCAAATTAGCCTCAGACTGCAAAATGTTACTGAACAGACCTCCTCAGTCTCAGTTTAATTATTCAAATTTGAATTACTTTGTCTGTATTACTTCTAGCAACCAAGTTCTTCAGATTTCAAACAAGCTCGCTGAAGTACAGTTAGCACAGTCAAAGTTACTCATTAGCAATACGTTTCCTTTGAAAAAAGTTCTTTCACTAGCTTTTCTATAGCTAGTTAACAAGCTCTGCTATTCCCAGCTTTTTACAAGTGAATGGATGCCATCCAAACTAAACAGAGCACATCCTTTTTCCCACTCTATTCAGCAGTTTGAAAATCTTCCAGTTCGTGTTTACGCAGCTTACAAACAAATACTGATCACCGCAAATGAGCCATTCAGGGCAATTACTAACTAAAAGAATCAGTTTGTCTTGGGTGGCAAGAAAGCAAGGAGGGGGCCCTCGCCATCCCCGACTTCACCTCACCTTTGTCATAGTTGTGTCATCCTTCCTGGGAGTGAAATTTTCAAAAAACCGAAGACTGTAGAAGCCGACGACAGAGGACACCATAAGATAGCTGTGAGAATCAAGGAAAAAGGAACCTCCAAGGAATGCAAGTTTCACTCAAGTTCTCAGCAGTCTCCTAGAAGTCTTAAGAACCAAAGGAAAAACAAAAAAAAACAAAAAACACTTCAAGTGCTTGAGAAGGACTGACCTATCTCTTCCTTCCAGGCAAGTGTCTTAGTAAATTGCCAGTGTCCCAGAAAAGAAGACAGAATACTTGTTAACAGACAGAACTTTTAAAGAAAGGATACAAAATCAAAATGATTTCAAGTGCTGCTCCCACAAAACCAAAGGTGGATAGGGAGGCATTTCCTATTCCAGGCCCCTACAAGGAGAAAAATACTTTGCGCAATTTAATAAGATACAGGCAACTGTTCACAAAGGTAACTTCTACCAGGACCAAAAAACCTAACATCTTACATGAAATACAGCCTTTTCCCCATTCAGTATTCAAGGAGCATTCTGCTGTTCTAACCCTCAAGCCTGCCATCCCGTGCAACTGCACCAGCCAGCTTTCAGACTGGAGCGAAACACATTGCTAAGACAGAAGCTGTAACGAGTCGTTTTTCATGCACACTGCACCTACCCACCATGCTGCATTTTCTGGATACTCCATTCCTTCTGAAGCTAAAATGCGAGGTCTCAAAAGACGACGCTTCTAGCTGTTCGCAATACCACGGGCAGAGCGGCTGTCACCACTAAACATCTTTCACTGCTCTGCAAGCTCACTGAACGCTATAGGCAGGGGAAGGCACTGCCAAGTTAACAAAACCCTCCTCATGACTGAAGAAATTACGACTCAATCTGCTGTTCTTTACTTTCTTGAAGTATTTTTACCACAAAGGAGGAAAAAATGTCACAAATGTTACAAATGTTTTGTAAAAGGAACACAAACACAAGACAGGCTTTTCATATTGGTTTTTAACATGTTTTCTTGAATTGAACATTTCTGGACCGTATGAAAGTAGGAGACATGAGTAAAATGCAAACTCCAGATTACTGATTTACTTTACTGAATGACCGTATCTTCATAAAGGTTCTGGAGTAGTTCTATTAAGAACTCACTGTAACATGACATATAATAAATGTTTATGCATGCACAAGGCCGGAACCTAGAAGCAAAGTCAAGGTTGAGGCTCATTAGTTTCAATGTTATTAAAGCAGAAGTTCTCACTTGCTTTGGAGCCCTTACAAAAGTGTGTTACTGAAGTGACAAAAATCACGAGAGAAGTTTACTTTACCCCTGATCCCTTTGGCATGGCAGTCTCATCAACCAACAGGTAAAGAATGTTGAGAGCAACTAAGAGGACTGAGATGGACTACAAAAAAGTAGAAACAGTGTTGTTATTTAGAAGTATTCCACATTTAAAAAAATGTATACATTTAGCCTCACCAGATATCATAACGTTCTTTTAAAATCGTGAAGAAAAGTATGTCAACTTTGTTGTTTAAACACACATCACTCCAAAATTTTAAAACAATTCCCCCAAATGACCAAAGAATTCTTCGTACTTTTTGTTGGGGAAAAAGAAAAAAAGAGGAAAGATTCTTACCGTCTCAGTCAGTAGCAATATCATAACGGCTGGATAAACTAAATTCCTTTCCCAAGCAGAAGCTTTCTTCCGCCGTTCTGTTCAGAATAGAAAAACAGAAGTTTAATACTGCAGATCACATTAGAACAAAACAAATAAAAGTCATTCAGCTACCTGTAAGCTCTTGTTATAACTATAGGTAACAAAAGTAATCTTATCTGGAACCAACACCAACCAGTTCACGAAAATGTCCACCTTGAAGAGCTGTACAAAGCAATGCCAAAGATAAGAAACCTCTCTGGAGAAAGGCTGGGGAGACAAAGTCTTCCTTGTTTACAGGTATGTTTCACCGTAACATTTTTTCTACCTGACATACAGCAATTCTGTAAAGTTTAAAATATACGGAATTTAAAAATATGTTGTTTACATTTATACTTTAGTATGACCTAAAGGGACAGCAGGGAATTTCAAATATTTAAACCGTGTTTTCCTCTTCTAACATAAGGCAAGACAGACAAAACTAACTCACCGGACACCACTAGAGTGCCTAAAAAAAAAAACCAACAACTTTTTCTTACCACATTCTTAGTTTTGCACATAACACACCAATAAATGCAAAATCCTGCAAGCCTTTGAGTAAGTAAGGAGATTCCTGTTGAGTGGCTGCCATTACCAGAAATATCACTTTCCATTTTAAAAGTGCACAAACCTGCTAAGAATTATTTTAGTGTTCTTAGAAACAATTTGACTTTTATAGAAATAATTAAAAAAGAGAAAAGTAACATCTTATATTATCCCAAACAATCATAAGCATAACATTATATATGAAGAGATCGTGCTATTGAGCTCCACACAAGGAAATTAAGAGTGCTACAAATTCTCTAAAATTATATTAAAAATAAGATCCAAATCAGAATCCCTATTTAAATTTGTCTGTTAGAAGGGTGCAGTGATTCCCTGTGATGCATTTGTAGAAACTACGACAATCTGAAAGGACTGCAAATGCACAAATTTGGTTGAACAAACTGGAATCAGTCAAGTGACCGCTAGAAGCTAAATACAGTATCTTGAAGTCATTTATTAAACCGCAATCCCCAAGAAACAGTAGAAAAAAATTTATTACCTAGATTGGTTTTCTTGCTTTTCACTTTTTCAAGCTCCCATTCCAACTCTACTGTCTGGTATTCCACCGTGGAAGATACACCTTTTAAAACAGAAGACAGTATTTTCTTTTGGATGAGACTAACTATAGCACTGTAAGACACGCTGTGACAATTCTGATTTAGCAAGCACCACATTAGCACTTCTGGCTTCAAACCGCAGGTGTTTCTCTGAGACTCCTGAACTACTTTTGAAGGGAGAGGGCCTTAGTCAAGAACCCTCTCATTCTGTCTAACCAGAGAGCTTGACGCATCAGTGGTTTCCCAGCCTGTTCTGCTGGCCAGCTGCTGCACGGAGTAAGGGACCAGCTCCCGCTGACAGCCTGACACAGGATGGCTCAAGTGCCTCATTCTGGTGTCTCTATATCATCCCTGTATCAAGACGTAAAGAACCTCTCGATGCCCTGCAAGGGCATTATTATTTAGCAACTTTAAGACAAAGTGGACCTTTGCCTCCAGACTAAGTACGCTGGTGGCTAGAGCTCCAGTTTCAGCTTCGGCCTCTTCCTCCCTTTGCCCACTCCTTTTTACCCAGCAAACTCCGCTTCCATACTGCTGAGCGGGTTGCTGACGTACCTTCTCCTCGCATCAGTCTGCCTTTTCTGGTCAGCCTCCCTCTGACAACCACAATCGGATCGTCCTCACAACCACCCACGAGAGCACATCCTTTCGCTTTCCCTTTTAGAGTCTACAGTATACGCATGTCCCTGTTATGCGGCTCCTCAAACTCACCTCTACACCAGCTCAAAACTGACAACCATAATATTGATTCCTCTCTCCCTTGCT